TTCTTGGCAGGTGTTTGGCTGCTGGGGTGATGCCACAAGTATTTTAGTTATTGTTGATTCCCTCCCTTTTTTAGTAGCACAAAATCGATTTCATGGATTGAATGAGAGAATTCAAAATACTCAAAAGGGTCTTTCAGAGTGAAATGATGAGCCACACAAGTAACAATTTACAAAACAAGCAGCATTTAAAAAATGAAGTTTTTGTGAGTCCACGAACAAACCCCACATCAAAGGAAAGGTAGGGTTTCCTAGTCAACAGAGTGAGGCATGTGGCATGACTGCCGTTGGTAGACTCTTCAAAGATTTGCCAAGGTGGAGGGTGTCCTTCTGCTGCTGTCAATCCCGATGTCTGATTCTGGGTGCTGTATTTTGGGGGGACATTTGATTGCAGATGCTCATTTCTCTGAACATGGGGCCTAGATAGTGAAGGACATGGACATTGTCAGATAAGGTGTGGCTAGAGAAGTTAGACTTTTCACCTACAAAAGAGAAGGAGCCTTTTAAGTAGCTCCAAAGGCCTGAAGCAGGATCAAAGAGCTGGGAGTTGCGCAGGGAGTCAAACTTGGCTCCAGGGAAAGAAAACATTGTGAACCTAACACCTGGTCTTACCCTGAATGGGTGGCTTTGCAAACTCCTGGAATGCATCAGGAGGTGCAGAACAGTCTTTCAGAAGGAATTTGTCTTTGGAGTGAGCAGTTGGAGGGAAGTCCACCACCCATTCTTGAACCCCTGGCATGTATTACGGTGCTGGAGCTATGGAAGAAAGCGTCATCCCTGGCGTTGGAGCTTCATGGAAACTTGGGTGTGGAACGCCCAATGGAGGGAGCAGGATTACCTCACCTTGGAAAGGCACAACAAAGTCCTCATTTACATAAAACTTGATGGGGGGGGGGGTTTCACAATCTGGCTTCTTGGTTGTAGGAAGTCTAATTAAGAAAAGAAACCTCATGTGATGTGATTTTATGCAGTAAGAGAATGAGAGAGAAAGAGAGAGAGAGAACTACAAGCAATGAGGAGAGCCCAAAGTAGTGTGTTTCTAAAGGTGTTGGCGTTCGTCGACAGGGCTTGTAATGGCTAAGAAAAAGCTTCCACAGCTCAGCAAACTCTGGGCATTAATCATCTCGGTCAGGAGCTAGAGGTTTTTCAAGGTTTCAAGAGGATGCTTGGGAACTGTAATTACGCTTTGCAAACAACAGGTACTTTCACAATATCCTTTGTAGAATATCTCACCACCATATTGGGCTAACATTGTGGAGCAGCTCTTGCTGACGCTGCACATCGGGGTACTTCCTGCACATTAGGATTTCGTTTTCAGGGAAATATTGACCTCTTTACTTCAAGGTGCTTCACTCTGTCAGGACCCAGCCCCCATCCCATTGAGAATGCTGGGGGTCACTGTCGTTGCTGTCCTTGACTCAGAAGCTGGCTTCATTTGCGCAGCCCTGCCAGGGACTAGGGGTAACCCTGCTTTGTGTCCTGACCTCAGACGAAGGGGAATCTGGTTGGCCCTGAGCCTCTGCCAGCAGAGGGAAGACTCTTCTAGGAGCTGGCAGGGCGAGGATGTGGAGCTTGGCTTGGCAAAGTGGAAAGAACTGCAGAGCTGGGGAGAATGCATTTGACTTCTACTTCTTTCCCTTGCCTGCTATGTGACTTTGAATAAATGGGTTGACTTCATTTTTATTATGAGTGAACTAGGAAGAGCAATTTCTACATCCTAGGATTTGTGGGCTAAAGTGAAATAAAGTATAGAGACACATGGTACTTAGACACATAGTAAGGGTTTCCGGAGAAAAATAGTTCCTCTCCTCCTAACTTTTCTCCTTCTCTTCCTTTTGTTTGTTCAATAATTGTTACTTATTATACAAATATCTATTTTGATTAGGTATGGACATTCGACTTACTGTAATGCTTTTTGTCATAAGTGGATCTGCACAAAGCTGCACTTTCTTTTTTTTCATTTTTAAATAACAAAGGCAATGTCCACTCCCTAGACCAAGCCAATCCATTGCAGATGTGTTTGGGACAAAGTCAAGAGGCTTGTTCCCTTCCTCATTTGGCCTGCCAGGCAGTCACTGCCAGCCTTTTAAGATGGGTACATTTTTCTATGCTCATATAAATGCAGACAAGCATGTAAAGTTTCTCCTCTCTCCTGGCATTTTTTTGTTGATACAAGCTTAGTAGATGCACTGACTCAGGGTTTTGCTGTTTTTACTGAACAAAACAGCACAGATGGATGAATGCACAAAGACTTAATGTATCTCTTTTTTTTCATAGCCATATTGTCTCTCACTATCTGGATGCACATAGCTTATTCAATAATTTCTTTGTTGATGAGCATTTGGGCTGGGGTGGGCATTGTGCTACAGTGAATGAAGTCACTGTTGAGGAAGCCTGCAACCCACCTTGGGGTGCTTGGGATGGAGTCCTGCTTATGCTTTGAATCTATGCTTCTGGCTAAGTATCCAGGGAGGCAGCAGATGATGCCCTAAGTGCTTGGACACCTGCCACCCGTAAGGGAGACTTGAATGGAGAGCCTGGCTCCTGCCATTAGTCTGGCCCAATTCTGTCTATTGTAGACATGAGGGGGTGTGAACCAGTGTTTGGAATATCTTGCTCACTCAGAGTCTCCTTTTCCCTTGGTAAAATAAGTAAGATTAAATAAATCTTTAATTTTTTCCTACTATCCAAGTGTTATGTTTGAATCATTTTAGAATGAGCTATGTTCCTGGTAGCCTTCTGTCACTCGGGGAGGTTGCTTGGGTAATGTTTGTATTCATCTCTTTGTCTCCTCTTGTTTGAACACTGTTTAATTGCATGAAGTCATTAGGCAAGTTTAGGCCATTTCCCTGAGAACCTCAAGCCTTGCCCTTATTTTCTCCGTGTTGCCCATTACCAATCTTGCTTTTTGTCCCTCGTCTCAGGGAGGACACTTGATGGGAAGTGGGGTGGGGTGGTGGTGAAAAGCTGTATGCATGTGGGCAGTGGCTCTTCCCTCTGCTGAATGAATCCATGCTCAGAAGAAGCCTTCCTCTGCTTTAGAAACAAGCAGGTATCTGAGCTTTGGAGTTTCCAAAGCAATATAGTCTCCTGCTGTGGTTTTCAATTAGTTTCAGTGGCTGTAATAATATCCGAATATGCTGTCCTTTGTATTTTATTTCATGACCCGAAATGGTTGGGAGGTTCCAGTATAAAAAAATTGAATGTGTTCTGGCAACACACTCTGTTGTGGCTCAGTACCTAGGTTCCTGCACCTTGGCCTTGTCTGTCTCCACCAGCAATCTTTGTGTGTAATCGCAGGGTCTGAGTTCAGGCCAAGCAAACTCCAGTTGAGTTTTGGAGCAGCTCCAGCCTTTTCCTTGACGTGAGGACAGCACTGGTTGTTACCACAGCTTGCTGATGGTCAAATCCAAAGCCAGGAGACGGGATGTGGCTGTGGTGGCCCTAGGGACTGGCGACTGCACTGGACCAGTTTTTGCCTAATAATCCAGGCTGGATGAGCTGGTTGTTTTTTTAAATTTTTCAGGGAAGAGAAGCATTCAGTGTTTTGGTTATTGCATGATTTGATGGAAAACATATGTTTGGAATTAAGATATCATACCACATTTTCTGACTATTTCATGCTCAGTGGTTCATTTTATTCTGTGGTTTGCTATTTAAGCAGAATTCACAGTATGCCTTAGAGGGGTCCTTTTATGCTCTAATGAATGTGCCTAGAAGACAAAAGACAGCATTTCTTTGATTGTTTCGATGATTTAGGTTTAATATTCTCTCATTGCCATTATTAGTTTTAACTGGAAGGTAAACTTTGCAAGAATTGTGTTCATGTTTATACATTGGTGACTTTTTAAAAAAGTAGCCTTGCATACCACATTCTGAGCTCGTGTCTTGTGGGACTGGCTTGTTGAGCTTCTTCCCTGATTGGTGATTTGGTCATGGCCAACGTGCTGATGGAAAAAGCCTGATGTAGAGTTGCATCTGGATCTTTCCAGGACCTATACCTTCTACAGGACTTCAACAAGCTTCAGTGTCTAAAGCAAGAGAAGTGAAGGAAGTGACCACCGTGGAGTGAAAGGGCTCAGCAGTGAGTGGAGACTGGGGAGGAAGCACCAATGTGGCCACAGGACACTGTTGGGCAGGACATGGCTGCTCTTCTCTTTGGGGTTTTCTCAGTTTTAAGCATTCTGGTGTTTTATGCCTTGTACATTCTTATTTCCCAAGGCTATTTGACCTGTATCTTAGGTGTGCTGCAAACACACTCCTTCTGAGTCCAAGGTGAAGACCCTAAGGATATCGAGTCCTCCATTATTAACCCCTTGTTACTATTTGCTATCTCCTTTGTGTTTTGGCTTGTTTTCTGCACCTACAATGTATGTTTCTTGGAGTCAGGGGTGTTTCTCCTGCTGAAACACCCAGTTTAGCGACAAAGAAATAGGCATCAATTGATTGTGCACTGGTTATCCACATAATCTCCTTCTTCCTTGTGGGCTAAGCTATTGGCTTCAGTGTTAGAATCAAAGATGTTTAGTATCAGCTATGGATGACATCATCCGGTTCCTGTGTGACGTTGTGAAAAATGTGCAGATTCAAAACAGCTATGTAATTTCAACTTTCTGTAAAAGGGACCACATAAAGAATTAACACTGACCAAATAATCGTGCAGGTGGATTACAGCTGCTAGAGTCACTCCTGGACTTTCTCAAAAATAAACAAAAACAAACAAACAATCAAGCAAAAAAAAAAAAACCTCAAATACCATTGTGTTACCTTGCAAATGTCAGTTTATTGAAGCAGAGTGATAATCAGTACAAAGCTGACTTTTAGACTGTTTCAAGAGCCTTTGAATAAGAAAGGAGAAGCAGAAAAATCATTGAGCTATCTGTTTTTGGACTAAAGCCTTGCCTTGGAGCTATTCAGAAAGATGAGGAGACAGGAGGTGATTTCTTCACTCGTGTCCTTGAGTTTTCTCTGTTCGGAAGACGCCTTGTTGATCCAAACATGGCTCATTTGATCTTCACCTCGGAAATACTGCTCACTTGGGATGAGACGACTTTGCCATCCACCACCTCCTCTATGATGGTCTTGGTCACTCTCGTCTTGTTGGGATCTGGAAAGCACAGGATCCCAGTGTCAGTCTGAAGACTATGAGACACGGAGCAAAGAAATGCAGTTGCACTCACTGGGCATGCTCTCTCTGGGGAAGAGCTTAGCTTGCAAGCCACAGTGTGTGCTCTTCAGATGGCAAGCCAAGCACGCCTTTCCCTTTAGATTACGAAATCATCATTGCTATTGAAAAGTGATCTACCTCTTCCTTGGCCAGAATTTTCAGAGCTTGAGTCCCTGGATCCTAGGTTTCTATAATCAGAGCCAGAACTGCAGGGAGAGAGAGAAAAAAAAATCGTGTTTCTTTTTGCGGTTTGCAAGGTTGGTAGAAATCAGCCACACTGGGGCTTTATCACGATGGAACTTTAATTCCTTTCAATTAGATTGTGTCTGTAGCTTTATAACTTGGTAAACACCCTGTCCTGACCACATGCCCACCCCACCCCACCCCCTGTCCCAGACCACTTAGGATTCATAGAATAGATTCCTTGGTGCTTGTGGCTTTGATTTACCGTGTCTCTCCATCAAGCAGGCGGCGGTAGGTCTCGATTTCCACCTCCAGGCGCGTCTTGATGTCCAGCAAGCACTCATACTCCGCGTTCTGGCTTTCCGTCTCCACCCGGATCTGGCAGAGCCGTTCCTCCAGGCTGCTGATCTGCCTCTGAACGGCTGACAGCTGAGCCACGTAGCCAGCCTCTGTGTCGGCCAGTGTTCCTTCCAGTGAGCTTTTCTAAAGAAAAAGCAAGCAAATCAAATCATGATAAAAAATAAGCCACTGGGTGATTTAGAAAAATATTTGTGTGGGATACTAGGGGCATACCTTTACCAAGCTGCCATCTGTATTGTTCATTTCCTGGGATGACTTTTTAAACTGGATCTAACTATAGAAATAGCATGCAATATCTTTCACTTTCTAGAGTCACAATTGTAGCTCTCCTTAACACTGCTTTTACTATACCCACCTAGCGAGCGGCTTGGCTAAGACAGGCAGCTGTTTTTTGCAGTCCCTGCTGGAGGGCTTGATAAGTCATTTGCACATACCATGGCCAGCTGGGACTGAAGCTCAATGTCCAGGGCTTGCAGTGTACGTTTGAGTTCAGCTATCTCATTCCTGGCGGAACTGGCCGCTCCAGCATCTGTGGAGATCTGTGCTTGTAGGGACGCGCTCTGGATAAAGACAAGATGCAGCTGTTGTAGTGTGGAGACAGGGGCAGATGTGGCTCACAGACTGATGGCTGCAAGCTTGGGTGCTCAGTGAGGTGGGCTACCTGCTTATTGAACTGCTCCTCCGCTTCGCGACGGTTCTGCTCAGCCAGCTCTTCATACTGTGCCCGCATGTCATTCAGCAAAGCCGTCAGGTCGGTTCTCGGGGCAGCCTTCATTTCTACATTCACGTCTCCTCCAGAGCTGGTTGAGATGTTCCTCATTTCCTAGTACAAATGGAAGAGTGATGAACTTGGGACAGCCATGGCTTTCTATAATGTGCACCACTAATGACAAGTTGCTGCAAGGATGTTAGATTCAAATACAATGTGCTCTCATTTTGCCTTTGTCTGGTCATGGGAAGTGGAGCATTGATTTAGATAAAGTCAGGTATATTGGATTTCTGCAGAAGGGCTATGGAGGGGAGGGCACCCAGCAGGTCAGAGCTGTTCCCTGTGGCACGTGCTCCCACCTCCTCGTGGTTCTTCTTGAGCAAGGCCAGCTCCTCAGTGAGACTCTCTGCCTGCATCTCCAGGTCCGAGCGGCCCAAGGTCAGTTCGCCCAGGACTTGGCGAAGTCCGGTGATGTCGGCTTCCACGCTCTGTCGGACAAACAGCTCGTTCTCATGCCTGCAAGGGGTGGCAGTGAAGGAGTTTGATTAGCCATCCTGGTTGCTGTTTGTCAGCTCCTTCTTCCATTTTCTCTCTGACTCTTTTGATAAATGAAGGTAAATGGGTTTTCTTTTAGAGACTTTTCCCCTCTAAAGAAAAATGTAAGTCAGGTGCTAATTCTAATCAAGTCCAAGAGTTGTTTTAAAACCACATTAAAATTGCGTTTGAAAGATTGATTGATTGGTACAATGAGCTCCCCAGCCCATAGTGCATTCTCCTAATGCTGCCAACAGTTAGAGGGCGGAAGCAGTGGTCACAGGGCTGAAGGCAGGAATGAGGCACTCAACCCAGGTCTCCCACGTGGGGGTCAGGAGCCCAGCTATTTGAGTCATCACTACTGCCTCCAGGATCTGCATGGATGAGAAGCAGGACTCGGCAGTGGAGCCAGGAATTGAACCCACATCCTCTGATATAGGCATGAGTGTCTTCATCTGCTAGGCCAAATACCCGCTTCAGTGTCTAATAATTTATAAAACAAAATTCACATTCTTGATTTGGTTCTTTTCTTCCTTTTCTTCCTCTTCACTTTCTCCATCTTCTGTCTCCTCCTCCTCTTTTTTCTTGTGCAATGATAGTTTCTAAATTTCACTATCAGGACTATTTGTGAATTTAGGTCATTATATCCAGAAATTTTTTTTTAAAGAAAATTCATTTGGGTCTGGCGTTATAACCTAATGGCTAAACCCTCACTTTGTGTGTGCTGGGATCCCAAATGGGTGAGGGTTTGTGTCCTGGCTGCTCCACTTCCCATCCTGCTCTCTGCTTTGTGGCCTAGGAAAGTAGTCGAGGATGGCCCAAGGCCTTGGGACCCTGTACCCATGTGGGAGACTTGGAAGAATTTCCTGCTCCTGGCTTCAGATCAGCTCAATTCTAGCCATTGGCGACCACTTGGGGAGTGAATCAGCAGATGGAAGATCTTTGTCTCTCCTTCTAAGTCTACCTTTCCAATAAAAAGAAAGAAAATTCATTCAATTTAATTTTTGAAACACTTGTTTTTGAGTCTTCCTGCTGCTTACTTCAGTCTGAAGTCATCAGCAGCCAGTTTGGCATTGTCAACCTGCAGAATCCTCGCAGCATTTTCAGCAGTGGTGTTGGCAATCTAGAAAATATGTAGACAGCAGTTTTTAGTGTGTCTGTAGGCCTACTTCTGAGGGTAGGCACCCTTTGTTTATTAGCTATTGAGGGTGATTTGTTTTGCAAGCTTCCTTAGTCATGCCATTTGTATTTCTCTGCAAAAAGGGAAGAGATTGAATGCTTCTTGGATCAGATGTTGAACATTGTTTTACAGACCGCAGCCCTCCGTGGATCACTGCTGCTTCAGAAGATCAGTCATTTCTTATACTCTCAGAACAAAACAGTGGAAAAAATAGATTTCCATACTAGGATAGTCTTTAAAATACATTTTCTATATGACGATAGCTAAATATTTTAGATTCTACTCTATTCCCACACAATATCTGCATTGGATTTTCTAGGAGTAGTTCTTTAGACTACTTGAACTGAAGACACTGATACACATCATCATGATGGAATAGTTAGAGTTAATATCCCTCACTGTCATATGTACATTATTCAGCTGCCTGACATTGTGGACAATTTACCCTTAGGTAGAAATATTCAATCTGAGATGAAAACAGGAAATATATATAGTTGGAGATCACACAGAAATACCATAATTAAGATGGTTTGTTTTGACATCACTAAGAGCAAGTATTTCATAAATTCTTCCACTTCCATTTTCATTATGATAGATGATCTGAATAAACATAAAAGGCACGTAATGGAAACTGTCATGGATCTTGGCTTACCTGGCTCCTGAGCTCCTCAATCACTGGATAGTATTTGCTGTAATCTCTTCCAGATTCGCCATCTCTGGACCCAGGTCCAAACTTGTCATACCACTGCTTGATTTTGCTCTCCAGATCAGTGTTGGCCTCCTCCAGGGCTCTGACCTTGTTCAGGTAGTTGGCCAGGCGATCATTGAGGTTCTGCATGGTTTCCTTTTCACCTCCAGAGAGAAGCCCCCCATGGCCAACACCACCTGCCATGCCGCCACCGTAGCTATAGAAGTCTGCTCCAGCACCGCCACCAAATCCAGAGTCCCCACTAGAGCCAGCTCTGCAACCCGAGGCTCCTCCTAAACTGCTTCCACCAATGCCCCCTCCAAAGCCAGCACTAGACCTTACACCCGGGCCACAGCTGCTGGCTCCCCCTTGCAGGCCCTGGGCGGAGCTGCCCCCCAGACCACAGCGGCTTCCATGTCTGCTGCCTGCAGCCCCAGAAGAAGAGATGCGAGATGAGGAAGGCATGAAGCTGTGGCTGAGCTTGAACTGGTTGAAGGGAATCCGAGGTCGATGGTGGACAGTGTGTTCAAGGCTGCCTGCCTGACCCATATATACCCAAGTCTGAGGGTGTTTCTTGTCTCCATTGCCTCTTAATCCCGGTCACAGTTTTGCAAATCTGTAATTGGATCATTTCTTTCTGGTGAACTCACACACTGGTGGCTTCTTTTTTGAAGCTGGGTCAGAGCCTGGAGGCATTCATCATATCAGGAAGAAAAGAAAAAATAACCAAAAACAACAAGGTGGAGCAAAGGGGGAAAAAAAATTCTGAATTAGAGTTTTAATCTTCCAGGGGTTTTGATGGCTGATAATTGTTTCCTGCAAGAATACTTCTTTTGAATTTGCTTCTTGATTACCCAACTTTGGGGAATATCCTCACATTATCAAATGTAATTAAAATGTTTAAAGTGAGGAGGATGAAAACTTTCCCATTAAACATGTAACTTTTTGTTTGTATTGTTCCCAAATGTGGATGTCAGCTTCCCAACAGCAGGAATTTCAGGTCTAAGGCAACTTCCTTTTCTTAGGTGGCTTGAATCAGCTTATTTCTTTGGTAGTTGATGGTCATTGCATTTGTTTATTCCTTTCTTTGTATTTAGGGAAGATCAAATCATATACTTTCACTATGGATAAGAAAAATGTAAATGAATCCTAATCTATGTGAATATTATGAAAGCCTGTTTTCAAGGCAGGTCTACTCGAGGGCTGATCAGAATTCAATTGTAACTGCAGGGATACCTCAAGTCTACTTCCTTTCTGATTGAATTGTGTGATAGAACAATGGGAATTCTTTAGGATCAAACCTCAAGAGAGATTGTGCTGCCTGTGCCTTGAAGACCAGGAGAGAGAGAGAGAGAGAGAGAGAGAGAGAGAAAGTGAGATCTTCCGTTTGCTGGTTTAGTCCCCAGACATCACATCTGAATGAGGAGCCTGGAACACTCAGGATCCATCCTGGATCTCCCATGTGGGTTTGAGTACGGGAATTGTCTATTGCTGCCTGCCGGGATGCACCTCAGCCAACAGCTGGATTGGAAGTGGAGGCAGGACTGGAATTCAGGCCTTTGATGTGGGATGCTGGTGGGACAGGCTGATGCTGGCTTTCATGTTAAAGCTGAAAAACAGCTTTGCCTAAAAAGCAGGATTGGAACAAACCTCTGATGTCTCTGTGCCTGGAGTCATCTTACAGACGTAGAGATCTGAACTCCTCTTCCTGCCCCTCACGCTTGGTTCTGTTTTTCTGTTTTGGTTTAAACGATATTGAGAAAAGATGACCTGTGGCTACTTCTGATCACTCATGTTATGATGGAGGTTGTTTTTTAGATCCTCAATTCAGGAGCACTCCCAGTGCAATTTTGACTTTGTGTCTTTTTGTATTATAGATGGCTGCCTTTCATCTCTGCTAATAGGTTCTCTGCTTGCAAAGTATCCTTTTAAAAGGCAAATACTGTATGATTCCACTTACCTCAGCTGTGTAGTCAGCACACAGACAGAAGGTAGTGTGGTGGTTGCCAGGGCTGTGGGTTGCGGGGATGGGGCGTTGTTCAGCGGGTGCCGAGTTTCAGTTTTGATGGATGAAAAGAGTCCTGGAGCCTAGTTGCATAACAATGTGAGTGTACTTAGCTGTATACCTAAAAAAATTACGATGGTAAATTTTGTGTTGTGTGTATTTTACCGCAATTTTTTAAAAAGTGCCTTCAAAAAAAGTGTGGATACTTGTCCAAATAGTTCTTGTTCTCTTTAGTTTTATGTTTTTAAAAACTGGCTTTTGTTTATTGAGGCCTTTCTTCCCTTTTTTGGCAGTCTGTTAGACTACGTGCCGAGCTTTGATCTTAGCATTCAACCATTCGTTGTCTAATGTTCAACCTTCCTTCGTTTCCCAACCGTCTTTGGAAGTAAGCCGTGATTCCTTTTACTATGTAGCTATTTAGGTGATTAACTTTTATGCTACTCCTGTGTGTTTTCACAGTGATGTGTTATTGCTGCCTTTCATATTCAGGGTGACAACTTCCAAAAGATACAGGTGTTTAAAAAATGCTTAAATTATTTGGTGGGGGAATAATTTCATTGTCCCCTTCTAAGGTAGGTTGAAAAAATGCACCAGATATAATGTGTAGGATATTTTGCTGGGAGACCTCTGCCCATGACTGTAAGACCAAAGGAGATCCAGGGCTAACAATGAAAAAATATACATATGAGGAGTGGTGTTACATATGAGGAAGGTGGGAGGAAGTTAAATGATGAAGTGTAGCCTTTTTACTTCTGTAAAATCTGGAATTTGGTTAAAAGAAGCTAAGTGAGAAGAAATCTGCTGAAGCTTATGAACCTAAGAGCATGGGTGAAAAGAGTTTGAATTTGAAGGAAAGAAGGAGGTAAGACAAAGCTTTAACAGAGTCTTTGGTTTCTGAACTTTGCCAAGAGTATTCATGGAATTTTTTGGGTTGTTCTTGGAGCTGCGGGAGTTTTCACGGCAGCGGTAGCCTTGTTCGCTTGTGCTTTGGAATTGTTGACCATTTGGGTCTCAACTGAGAAAGTTTGTGATGACTCAGGTGGTCTGTCTTCTTTCATGTCGTTTAGCTGTCTTCTTATAATTTATAAGGCTGGTGTAGGTCTCTTTGTTCTGTAAATTCAGCTTCAAAATAAAGTTCTTAGGGTGGGTGTCTAGCACAGTGCTTGCTCACATCCCATATCCCAATGCCTGGCTTCAAGGTTTCATTGTGTTTTGGATTCCAGCTTCCTGCTAATGCAGCCCCTGGGAGGCAGCAGGTGATGGCCCAAGTACTTGGGTCCTTGCCAATGAGTTCTAGGTTCCGAGTTTCAATATGGCCAAGCTCTGGCTGTTGAGGACATTTGGAAAGTGAACCAGTGCATGGAGGAACTCTTTCTCTGTCTTTTTTGCTTTTCAAATAAATACAATAATGAATAAAAATAAAAGTAACCAAACCGAAATTCTCCTGATATGCTTCTCTGACTCTTAGGAGCTGACTGATGAGAAGGGCATGCCATGAAGAAAGCAACCGTGACTGCCTACGATTCTTTGTGTTGTGAGTCAGTGTGTACACAGATAAACCCAGAGCATTGACTTCCCCTGGTTAGTATTGTCTTAAAGTGTGTTTTCATGCTTGCTTTCTGTTGTGCTTGTGTGACTTTCCATTTACAAGGTGGCTCTATCAGCATAATTTTATCTATGATTGGCAAAAATGGATTAAAGGATTGTGACTGCACATTTAAATCTACTTCTGTTCTTGCCTGAATGTGAAGGTTCTTACTTTACTAAAGTTTACTTTAGTACTCAGTCTCCATATTTGAAATCATGACTTGCCAAAGGTCACAAATCTGTTCTTGATAATTCGTTCCTCTCTGAAATGAAAGCTTCCAGTCTGGAGAGGTGTCCATGAAATGGGATGTTCAGAGGTGCCAGCTTCCGTCCGTGCCTGGTGTCCAGGATTTGCTTACCAGCTGATCCTTCAGAGAAGTGTACTAAATCCCTGGCGTCTGGGCTTCTGGTTCGGTATTCTGTGAGTAGTCTCTGCAGTATCTGACAATTGGAGGTGGACATTAACTATCCCTCGAATGAAGGAAAGACAGCGAGGCTTGGTTTGCTTCAGGCACAACCTGAGTCCTTGGTCACTCTCGTCCCTTACTAGATGTTCTGCTTGTTGAATATTTGCTCTGCACCTTCTGGTATTAGGCAGTAAGAGAGAGCAGGAGTTGTTTGAGGACAGGGAAGGGAGGGTCTGCAAGCATCCTGTGTGGAGAATCCTTGTTGAGGTTGGCATTCTGATGGTGGTGACCTCCAGGCACAACTACTAGAAAGAAAAAACGTTCTGCAATTAATATTTCCTCCGCAGGACCTGACACTATCATTCAATGGATTTCAGTCCTGTACAAATGACAGAGCCAGCTGCATGTGAAAATAAAGCAGAAACCCATGAATTTTGCAACTGTTTCTCTTCCTACACTCTCTCTGTCTTCCCTCCCCCTCATCCTTTGGCCAGGTCAAAGTTAGGAACCCAGAACTTCATCCAGGTCTCTCAATGCAGGTGGCTGGGATACAGGCACTTGAGCCATTATCTGTGCCTCCCAGAATGCACATTTGCAGGAAGGTGGATTGAGAGCAGAGTATCTGGAACTTGAACCAGGTTCTCTAACATGGGATGTGTGTAGTCCATGCTGATGATGGATGCTATTGCTATGATTGCCCAAATGGATCTCGATTTCTTTTATTTCTGATTGAATCTTTACTATTTCCTTTCCTCTACTAATTTGGGGCTTAGTTTGTTCTTTATGTAAAGATTTATGTGAAAGGCAGAGAGAAGGAGAGAAAAGGAGGAATGAAAGAGAGAGAAGAGAGATAGGTCTACCATCTACTTCCATCTGCTGGCTCACTCCTCATATGCCACAGTAGCTGGGGCTGGGCCAGGCTGATCCCTGGAGCCCAGCACTCCATATGCATCTCCTCACTCCTGGGCACTGGGACTCAGGTACTTGAGCCAGTGTCATCTGCTGCCCCTCAGGTGTATTAGCATGAAGCTGGATCATAAGAGGAGATTTAAAGCTCAAACCTGGGCCCTCCAAGGTAAGAGACAGGTGTCCCAAATGGTGGCTTAATCATGGTACTGGAGCTCACCCTTGTGAGCTTATTATTATTTTTATTGCTTCACAGTTTTCATCCTGAAGTGTGTGTGTGTGTGTGTGTGTGTGTGTGTGTGTGTGTGTGTGTGTGTGTGTGTGTTTGACATAGTAGCTTTATGGTCTTAGAGGATTCTGCCTTTGACTGTGTACTGCTTTGTACCAGTGAGTTTTATATATTCAGACATTTCGGTGTTACTCATTAGAGAAAGAGAGAGAGAGAGAGAGAGAAAGAGAGATTAGCTGATTTTATACACACTGATTCACTCTCCAAATGACCACAATGGCCGGAGCTGGACCAAGTTGAAGCCAGGAATCAGGAATTCCTTCCAGGTCTCCCATATGAGCAGTAGGGTCACACAGGCGTTGGCCATATTCTGCTGCTTTCCCAAGTGTATTCATATAGAGCTGGATTGGAACTG